ATAATCATGATAAAGCTGGTCTAGTCCCTTGACTCGACAACATGTGTCTGCAATTGTCTACGATCCAACCCTGGAAAGGGGGGGAAAAATTGCATCGCCGCATCACTTCCGGAAGATTAGTCTGACCAGAGACAAACTTTTTTCGGGGGCCTAACATACAGCAAAACACATCCACTAGTTTATGTGTAGTACAACACACAAGAACGGTACAAGACAGATGCACTCCTTTTCAAATGACATGCAGACGCACTGTATTTGTGTCCACCAATTACAAACCCCGTCTAAGAGGGAACTTTACTCTTTGGTTAAAAAGAAATGGCTAGCAAACAGATGAAAAGTAGGGTTTGATCAAGGCAGACAGTACTCGGCCAAGTTTCACTGACGATGAATGTTGAATACTAACAATGCTACAAATTCGAGTGAACTTGTTAACTGGGAGACAATTTCCGGTAAACACCGACAAGCTTAAGAAGAATCAGAAATGGGCCAAGCCGCTCACCTGTTTTCCGTGATTTACAGTCAATATTTTTTTCCAGTCTATACCTTTCAGGCACTTTTTGAATCAAACATTAACTACCCTGTATTTTGCCGTGTGTGCATGCTCTTCTTTCCAGTCTTACTACATAGAACTTTGCGTATCACGAGAACAACATTACCCAGAGTGTTCTACACAAATAAAACATCGCACATTTTTCACTTTATCACAATGAACACTTTTATAATGGATGGTCAAATACTGTAAACCTATGACTGAAAGGTACATGTACTTGTAACGCGTTTAACAGGAAATGAATCAACAATAGATAGATCCAAATTGTTTATTCATCCATATTTGGAAAATGAAATTCACTGGTTGTGCATAAAGGACTCCTAGCACACTAATATTATATAGCTAAATCGGTGGAATGTTCTCCACTTTTGCTCCACTGGACTTGAAGGACACACTAAACGTGTAGGGATGATGCTACACATTACATGGATTTGCCCTGCGAGCATGGGATCTGATTCGGCACGTTGGAACCCAGTCCAAGGGGCATGTGACCTGATTCAGCCAATTGGAGTCAAGCTTCTGAGTGAGAAGCCGATGCCACAGTCATGGTCTCAACAACATCCTGAGGCTTTGGGTGCTTTGAGCGATGACAACGCTCCTGCTACAACTTGTGGCATACAACAAAGCCAACTCAGACGTGGGCAAAGCCTCAACAGACAAGCCTTAAGATCCCAAAGCCGACTGTGACGTTTGAAGCCGAGGCCTCGCCAACCGCCACTAAAAGTAAAAAAGAGACTTTGAAACTCTTGGTGGTGGCAGACAAACCGATCCTTTTTGCAAGTTTCAGGCATGTGCATGCAATTTTGGGCATGCACATGTGGTTTTGAGCATGCGTATAGCTGTGGAAAAGGACCAGTTTGTCTGCCACCATCGAACACCTCAAAGTCTCCCATTGCAAAAGCCAATATAGCACACTTACGACATGCTAAAAAGAAATTCTAGAGTTGAGTAAAGCCCCATACTCTGTCACAAAATCCAACACAGAGGCAAAGAAATATAAGTTAAAGGATCCAGGAAATGAATTTTTCTTTGAATCCCTTTTTGAGTATCTCTGTACTCTTCTTCCATGTATAAAAACTGTTTGACATCTTTTTTGAGTTACATGAACTGAATGGTGCATTCAATTAAAAATTGACCATGCATTTCTGGACAAGTGAGGGCGCTTTGCTTTGATGTAAATGCAGGAAGTCATGGTTCAGGTTGCATGTTTCCATGTTCAAATTGCAAACCCAAAATTTGCTATCTGGGAACATTTCTGTAAAAAGGATTTTTGCTGGATTATTGCCATATACTTACACAACAATGAACTGCCAAAGAAAATCAGCCAGAGCAGTGGTTAAAAAAATCTAGAAATTGTCTTTGCACAAATCAGTGCAACATTGAGATTCAGCACCTTGGATGACATCATAGTTCTGCTTATGAATATGCAAATTGCATTGGAATAAAAACCAAAAGAGCACCAAAATATGGGTTAAAATTGCAAAACAAAATTTAAAATGAAGTCAATTGAAATCCAAAGATGCAATTGCAAGGGTTTTTAGTAAAAATTTATAGAAATATTTCTATTTCCTGGTTCCTTTAAATAAAATAACTGAACATGAATAGTAGCATAGAGGAATGACACAGAAAGAGTTGCAACTCGGGCACTTCAAAGTGTTCAATGATGGCTGCCACCGAGTCAGATGCACAATAGAAAACATTCCAAAGAATGCCTGATTACTGCCTGCATCTTAGCTGGACAAGCAGGGCCAGTAATATCCTAGCAATACTTGTATTTTTTTGCTTGCAATTAAATACAAATTGTTGATGTGACCAGGAAACAGGGAGAGAAAAGTTCCTGATATTAGACCTACTTTTGCTATCATAAATAAACTTTTAAATTTTGTTCCATTATCCATGCAAAGTTTGTAATTTTATTAGAGATTTAGGGCACACAGGGTACAAAGGGGTTTCGTGGTCATGAAACAGATGGTGCATAGCAAGCGTTCGCTGCGTTCTGGCTATGGACATACCAGGCATGCCAGAAAGAGGTAATTGGCCAGATGTTACAGCCCGGGCAGTTCAAACTCCTTCTATGTCCTTCCTCTACGATGGTAACAACTGTTACAAGTTGTTTATCAGTTAAATACTGAAATGACTAAAAGCACACAGGAAAAGAGCTGTACAGATTTGATACGAGGCAACATTTCTTATTGAAATATAAATGAACAATACTGAACTCACACAAACTTTTAAAAAGGTTAAGGAAAGGGAAGGAATAAAGTCAACACCACTGAGCAAGTTTCTAACTTGAACCAATTTCTCCATGCTTAGAAAAACCCTGATGTTTTAAAGTGACCAGGTCTCGAAATGAAATACATGTACATCCAATACATCACAGAGAATTCATTGGAAGAAAACTGTTCCACATTCAACAACAGTGCAAAAGAGCCAGTTGAAATACGTGAAGAAACAGGTATAGACAGGAGACTTGACAAGACAAATGTTCCACTGTACACGTACAAGAGAGAACAAATCTAGAAATCCCAGCATACTTTGGGAAATCCACGCTAGTTTGAAACACTGAAAGGCCAGTGTAAATTATTATTCTTGTTCTTCAGCCATGTTGTTAAAAATCGTCATAGTTGGTGAGGCAAACGATAGAAATGTACATGTATGTACCCACTGTGATCACAAGGGTCTGGAATCCAGACAATTACAGTAAAAGTTCCTGCTTTCAAGCTGCAATCAGTCTGTAGTTTTTTCCTTCAGCAACCACATCTTTCAAGACGGTTCATTATCACTATGTGAAATTACATGTACCTTGAACTTATTGTATTAATACTTTAAAATGGCTCAAAAGTTAATTTGTGACCAAACTATTTTAGATGATCCATGGTATTATTGCACTTGAATCTGTTCCCATCCTGCCCTTTTATTTTCCAAGTTTAAAAAAATTCCTATCCATGAAGAAAGGAAATGAAGGTAACTTCAAAGCACAACCACAAGAAAAGAAGAAAACTAGAATGTGTACCAAGTCACTCAAGCCAGCTGCTCCTTGATCACTATGTCACTAGCCTGTAACTTTCATCCCAACAAAAATACACATGGTTAACTACCGTAGCATCTTTACTGTTACGACATACTATCCCCTCCCTGCATTTTTTGGTCTTGATGGCAAATGCTAAAATTAAAAAAAAAAAGTTCACTGATGACGAAACAAATTGTTAGACTGGCTTAAAATCCTCTTCGGTAAACCAAATTTACGACAGGTTGACCAAACTGCAGAACATTTAGACAGGGATGCGCAACTTTAGTTCAGAGCTGGTTCAGTGCGTGTTACAGCCGCCAAAGTATCAAAATAATGAGAAATTCCATTAACATAACGGATTACATAACGCCTCCAGCCACAGCAGTGCCAGAGAGTGTCTTCGATGAATAACAGTGATGTCACGCACGCGAAGCTGCAGTAAAAATCATGTCTACTCCTTGCAGGAAGGAGTACTTAAAGTATATGAAATCAGATTGTCTGTACATCTGAACCTTTCCGCCATTTGGTTTGCTTCTCATATTTGTTTTAAGTCAAGAGTATAACCTTGCATAAAATATGATACTCAAGATATTTTATCTATTACATCCTAAGAAAAATGTACCACAAATTTGAAAAAAGTTGTCTCGTTAAAACAAGATTCCATTTTCTGTTGGGTTTCATGATGGGTGAAATGAAAATCAAGGGTATATATCTTATTTGCAACTATGTATAAAAGTTTTAAATATTGTTATAATACTCTCATAAACATACATAATGCATAACAAAACAGTAAAATAGGGCATCCTGCAGTGTACAATTTCGGAAACATCCCAACTAGGGCTGGCAAAAATATTATCCAAGTACATGTAGATGCCGCATAATACTAGTGTCGGTCTGTTGGATATTTTCTAGATTTGTAAATGGCAATGACAAAACTATTACTTCCTTGTTTTTAGTTTTAAAATAATTTTAGCCAGTTAGATAGATCAAAAACATATCAAAGTTGTATTTGAATGCAAAACTACGTCCTCAATAAAAGAGTGAAACAATAATTCTGGGCCACTTCCAAGAAAAATGCACGATACTTTTATGAATATTTGGTTATAAATGTAAAAGGCAGTAAAGACTTGTGGATTCAAAATGGCAGCCCCAGTCACGCATGTTCCAAGGATTACTCTGGCAATGAAACTGATTCATTTCATCTCAGAGGGCAAGAAAGATTATAAACCTGATCAAAATTTCTGCATGTACTTCTTTTCCCTCTAAAAGTGATTTGTCAAAACAAAACCAAAGTAAATTGAAACTTGTGAACGTGTGCCACATGGTCGCAAGTTCTCTTGAGAAAAGTTGAGAACACTCTGTAACACACAGGGAACAGAGATGACATAATGTGTTTTTGCACTGGAGCTATTTGCAGTTGCACATCCCTGTTTAAATGGTATGATATCACATCAACTTTCATCAACAGACTGGTTTCATATCAGAACTGATCCGTTGATATCAAAACTACCGGGGAAATTTGTACTCTGCTATGATCCGAGAGAGAAACAAGGAATAAAGGAGGACTGTATGAAAACATAAATGATGACTTGAAAAAAAAGAGGAACTTTTTTGAAGATGTTAAATGTAAGAACTGTGAAACATTTTAACATACGTACCTAGGTAGGTGACAGTGCTACAGTTAAGTCCATCATAAGTTCCTCATAAGCCATCCAGTCACATGTCCACTCCAGAGCTACTCAACTGAACTCTGACAAAAGCATTCTTTAGTCACTGTTCGTCTTGTTATTTGTGATTGGTCATATGAAAGGGACTTGAGACTGGACTGGAGAAAGGACATGTGATGGGCATTGTGGATGAGTTTGCAGGTGGATGAAGACCTGCCCACAATCGTGCCTGCCCTGAAGTGGATGGTACCGGTATGTGGGCGGTCATGGAGGAGGCCCCTTAACAGAAACATCTCGGCTACTCTGAGGACATATACAAGTATGAGAGACAGGCACTGGCTGTCCATTCAGCTACGTACAATTCCCTGATTGAGGCAAACTGGTCATCACTGCATTCACATTTACACAGAATGTGAACCGAATTGGTCCCACTGTCGCAGCTGTTTCCACGATCTCCATCATGTAAACTGTTGAATTCTGCCTGCCTTTGCTTTCCCCAAGTTCAAGACAGTGTGAGATGAAGTCTTAACCACACCTACTTTTGCAGTTCAGGTGGGACTTAGAAAGGTGGCTAAAACTGAAACACATTACAGTAAATCTTCAACAACAACAAAAAAGCACACATTTATCCAAATAAATATGCCATCCACTGACATGGATATGTATACATGTATATATAAAAGCACACACTGGTAGTGAAACATGTTTCTGACCCAAACTAGAGTACTTATACCCTGATATCTGCTTTGTCGTAAAACAGGCTTTGCCGTCTTTTGAGTGCTTACCACATTTCATCCCTCTCAATGAGCAACTTCTAAGTGACATTGTTAAAAGCTGCATTTCCTTGTAAAAAAATGAGTATCGACGTCACACAGGCCCCTTGCAGATATATACAGAGACCAGGCTGAGGTGTCTGGCACACTTTCTTGTATCATGTTCGCTCGCATCTTCCCTCCACTCTGACATTTCCTACGAAAGTTTGGTCCGTCAGTTTCTCTCTTCTTTGGTGCTTCTCCCTCAACAAAAGAGGAATTCCCTGCGACTGGCAAACAGCCTCTCATGAATTTGTTGCCTTCTCACCGGTGTACTCCTGGGTCTAGTTCCCGGTGGTCCTGCAACAAGTGCTAAATGGCATAGCGCACATTCCAATCCTCATGAGAGTCCTATTCAACAGTGACCAAGCCAACTACCTTTGTCATACTGTGATGTGCGCTTGTGTCGAAAGGGGCAAGTTACAAAAAAGGATGCTAGAGGCTGACGCACAAGAGAATTAACTTTAGTTATTTCCTTCATCCAATGCTACGTCCTTATTAAGCCTCCCGTTAGGTCCTGGATGACCCCTTGGTCCACCAGGTCAAAGAGCATCTTCTGCTCCTTGTCCACGCTATGCGTCCAGGACCGCTTGATCTCCTTCATCTTGAGCTTGTCATAGTAGTGGAGCGGGGCATTGGGGATGGACGTGTCATAGCCAAAGCCGGCGATGGCTACCTCGTCACAGAAACGCAGTGCCAGCATGATGCCCAAGCAGCCAGACGTTGGCACATTCTAGGTGTAAATAAGACCCGGCATGTTGTCAAATTCTAAACTGTTAAAAATCAAGTTGTCTTATGTCTATGGTGTACAACATAGTAAAGGGGGCGAGTATCGTAAGTTACTATTATGGCAGCAATGTTCCCCGATGGTTTTTAATTTTTGCCATGCCTTGAGCAGTCCACAACCTGTTTTTTTGCCAATTCTTGAGCATTCCACAACCTGTTTTTGGCCAATTCTTAAGCACTCCACAACCTGATTTTGGCCAATTCTTGAGCACTCCACAACCTGATTTTGGCCAATTTTTGAGTACTCCACAACCTTTTTTGGGCCAATTTTTTGAGCACTCCACAACCTGTTTTTTTGCCAATTCTTGAGCATTCCACAACCTGTTTTTGGCCAATTCTTGAGCACTCCACAACCTGTTTTTTGGCCAGTTTTTGAGCACTCTCCAACCCGTTTTTTGGCCAATTGAGCACTCCACAACTATGTCAGTGTGGCGGCTTTAACTGAATTGAGATCGATAAGTGATTTGGTTTCAAATAAAAGTCAATGTCCACAAGAACATTAAAACCTGACTTGTAAATTTTACTGTCCATTTTCAACTGCAAAAAGGGAGCAACTTTGTAAAACTCTGTAAAAATGTAAAAGTGCTCCCCTGTTTCATTAAAACCACAGCCTGCCTATTCGTATTAAAGTCTACAATGTTTTTGGGTGTTGAAACACCTGCAAAATGCACAGCCGTAGGGGAAACACTGCTGGTGTGACTGGTTCCCTTTAATGTGTTTTGCTTCACACCTGCATGTACAAGTCACTACCTTTTGGACACACACACAGACGTTCAAATTTCAAAACTGCCTCTGAGAAAAGGCATTCACAATTTCACAAATATGTCAGAGGCGCATGTTTGTAAATCTCATGGTGGAAATTATAGTTAGGGAAAAAAAACTTGGACAGGAGATAAGTAATATTGGCCATCTCGGCACAACTGATACGTTTGGGAAAGAAGTACAGAAAAGAGAAAAGAAAACTCAAACTTCAAATTCTTCTTGTAGTCTGAAGAAAGCCATCAAATTGTTTCCTAAAACCCCTTACTAAACAGGCATTTTGGAATGTAAGGAACCTTTGTGAAACTCCTTTGAAAATCCTTTCCCTGCAGGCACATTCCCTGTGCTTAAAACCTTGCAAGGGATATCAAGTCCCATGTACAAATGATGCACTACTGACTGGGCTCTAATTTTCCTCATTCCTGCCAAGTCATCTAAAATTCCTCTGGTGTACTCTGAAGACTCTCCCACCTCACTCACTTTTCATCAACCAGAATTTCCACCCCTACTCTCCCATTGCAAACCCAGGATAACGCGTGTCACCTAGGGACCCTACCTTGCCAACTTTCCCGTCTGCAGACACCGGAAACCCGATGATGTCGAAGCCCGTCTCCCGTAAAATGGATGGATTAAGAATGCGGAAATCTTCTGGCTTCTTGGGCACAGATGAGGCAATCTTTTTCCAAAAGCCCTTCTGATTTGTCTGCAAAGTGAAAGACAAGACGAAGATGGGAGTTAACCCAAATCAAGATGATAGGTGAGACAGGGCTGGGCTGGGCTGGACAGGGTGGAGTTGGGTTGGGTAGGGTTGGGTTGGGATGGGTTGACCTGAGTTGGGTTGGGCCGAATCAGACCAAATAGGGTTAGGATTACTGGATTAGGTAGGGTCAGTTTGGGTTGAGTCAGCTCAGAATGTGTTGGGCTTATACTTTGCCATAGCGGAGTTACATTTGGGTTTAGGCTGACTTGGGCCCAGTCAGATCAGGTTGGGTTGAGGTGCATTGGTAAAGCTTGGCTTGGGCTGGTTAGACTTGGTTTTGTGTGACCTGGGTTGGACTGAATTGGGTTGGGTTGAATTGGGCTGCATTTGGCTAAGTTGGGCTAGTTTGAGTTGGGTTGGGAAGGCCTGACTTGGCATTCGGGTAAGTGGTAGGCTGGCTTGACTTGGGTGAGCTTGTCTGAGCAGTTGACTGTTGTTTGACATTCCAAAGTTGAGTTCAGTACAAGTCTGTGCAAGTTTGGTTGGACTGAGGTAGGCATCTGTGAAAACTCAAAGCCACTAATAACGGGAGCAATACAGAACCAAACTATAAAGACCAAGCTCAAGTAGACTTTCCCCAAGTCTTTCCCCACAATACACACACTCACCATCTTCTTGCCTTGGGCCACTGTCTGTAGCCACGTCAGGTCCATGGGCTTGAACACCATCAGGAGGAGAAGCCAGTTGCCATGGAACTGCTCTGGCTTAGTGAAGGCGCTCTCCGGGTAGCACATTCGCATCGTCGTCTTGGAGCCGACGTCCTTCTCATACCCTTTGGTAGGTGCGTCATTTATTCTGAGGGGTTAAAGGGGGAGGGGAGAATTGCACAACAGGTTCTTACTTAGATGACAATAAATGAGTGACAGATGACAAATGACAAATGATGGACAGTACCTTTCACTGTATAAAGACTTATCAGTGAGTGTTTCCACACTCATTGTGTCTGCCCTACAGAAACTAGTTTGGGCACCCACTCGATAAAGACATAAATCTGTGCTAGAAAGCCTATTTCCCTGCTGCAAGAAGTTGGAAAACAAACATACAGAAAGTTTCCTCTGCTATCAATAAATGATGATAATGGGAAAAAACTGGGACTAGGCTTGTGCCAATCACATTAGCTATTACATGCAACAGCATGGGCCTACTCACCTTAAAACTACGTCAAAGTTGTCTATAACTTTTCCTAATGAGGTATCTTTTATTAGCCCGCCGTTTCCGACAATGACACATCGTAGGCAGGATTTACTGAAAGGAACGGAGAGAGAGAGAGATACTACCAATGAATACAGACAGTATTTTCCGTGAAGCATTTGACAGTACAAGCAGCGGCTTATACGTTCATTCTCACGCTGAAAAATGTCTCTGCAGCTTATACGCTGGGTGGCTTATAGAGCCAACTTTGAAATATAAAATCAGTCACAAAAGCCACGGCTGGGACACCCGTACTGGTGGCACAGGCTTGTTTTCGTTGGTTGCCACTGCTATCTGATAACTCAAACCTTGGAAATAAAATTAAAATTCGAGTTGTCTGTTCTTTGGGTTAACAGAATTCCCTGAGTCATGGAGTCACAAACATATGCATGAAATCTGTATGTAATCTTAAACTTAATTCTGCTGTGACAGCATTCCTAGTGATTATTTTCCTGCTTTTTATTCATTCTCATGGAGTATTTTTTGGTACACAAATAATCATTTATTTTTATAACTTATATTTTATATTCTAAGATTTTGTTTTATCATTAAATAAAAATCAAGAGCTTCAATGGTGTACCTTCGGGAGGCAAATCTTTCATCTTTCCACCAATTGTGTTCAGCGTGACATGACACAGAATTTTGGAGTTTTTCATGTGGGTTTTCTGTTGGCAACACTTTCTGTGGTCACATGGTTATCGGTGAGAGCCAGCGATTGGACTGTCCATGAATGGGTCTGTGGTGGCAGTCAGGCTAGCCTGAAAACAGGGTTTGTCATGTTCATGTTCCATGTTCCACGTGCAGCATGCATGCAACACAAGTTTTTCAAATGTGATGACGCGAACCACAATCTCTTGGTGGAATTTTCATTTTTGAAGCGCATTTGGCGATGTTTTTTTTGAGCGGCATCTCAAAAGTTCGAGATAAATGTATATAGTGCAATGGACAGTCACATGTACGGAGATTTTTTACATAAATCCTATTCTTTTAGCAAGAAGTAGTCGGCCTGTGAGATGAAACAATCTTTCGACTTAACTGACTTTTGAGTCATCAAGATTTTATTGTACGTCCCCAACCACATAACTTTTGCTGGCCGCTTTGAAAAAAGAGCAAGAGCTGCTACATGTCCCACGCATGACACTCATCCAGCCTGCAAAAATGATTACATATGAGGACTTCAAATTCACTTTTTTATGGTGACACTGGTTCCCATTTTTCTTACACATTGTATTTATTAGGATCGCACGTAGAGTGGAATCATTGACGCACTTTACTGGCACTTCAACACACAGCACCTTCGTGGTTGGATCATCAGTGCTGCCATGCAGCTTATACAATGATGCGGCGTATACTGCGACTTTAAATCTTAATTTACCTAATTTTGCGCGCTGCAGCTTTTACACCGACAGGCTTATATTCCAAAAATTATGGTATCTGTCAGTTTTGACATCACGATGGACAGTGATTTTTAATTTAAAAAGAGAAACCACTCTGGTTTGGAAGTGTGATTTCAATCCAGATATACGTACATGTATATGAGTATGTAGACTCTATCAAAGCATCTTCAGAGTACGCAAGACAAGGCAAAAAACACTAAAACCATTATGAGAACACTGAGAACATGATAGTAACTTACTGGCCCCCGACACTGGCCCCTCAGGTTATTAACTCCTTACCTTTTAGATATAAAAGGTAAACTTGTATTCCAAGCAATACCCAATGTTTCTTTCACTAGTTTTGCTGAAATGCAAGAAAAAGGAAACAACTGTAAATGGCAAAATAAGCATGTTCAAGTGAAAACAATATTTGCTAATTTGCTTCAACTCGAATGACATGGTTTTGGTTGAAAGTTTTACACTACATAAAACATGTATTCACTCAACTCACTCAACGTCTCTTTTGTGACATTTCAAAGCAAAATTAATGATGTTTAACAAGATAAAAAAGACTTGGTTTGTTGTCGACATAGGGAAGTGAGTGAAAAGTGAAAATTCTGATTAAGTCTCAGACAAAAAAAACCAGTCTTATGTTCAAGTCAACTGCTGATGCCCCCCGCAATATCGGCACTTTCAAGGATCATTTCTGTGAATTTTCTCAGAATCCCTCTTGGAGCGTACATGTACATGTTTGAAATCTTCTTCGACGTAAGAAAACTATTCAAAATCTTTCAGGAGTGAAGTGAACTGTAATGTGTACTTTTTAAACATTCAAAACTGACCAAGCTTTTCTAGACCAGTGAGGGCGCTGTTGGTGTGATGTGAATACAGGAAGACACTGATCAGTTTGCATGTTTTCATGCTTCCAGTTGGAATGCTAAATTTGCTCTTTGGAAACCTTTCTGAGAAAGATTTCTTGCTGGCATATTGCTATATACAACGTATAGGAGTACTTGTACATGTACAACAATGTGTTGCCAAAGGAAATGGAAATCGTCCAAAGTGGAGTATAATACTCTAACTTTTGTTGAGCACAAATCAATGAACACTTAGGTTCAGTGCTTCTGATAACACCATAGTTTGGCTCATGAATATACATGTATGCAAATTTCTATTAGCACAGAAACAAAAAAAGCCCAAAAAATACGGACAGAAATAGCAAAACAAAACTTGATAATGAAGTTAATTGAAACACAAAGGTTCGATTTTAGTAAAATACTTCTATTACATGTACATAGTCCGGAAGAATGCCTTAAATATCTGAACATTCATGTTCCTTTTTCCCTATGCACATGTACCGGTACTGTAGCCCCCCAAATGTGTCACACTGCTGGTAAGGCTGATGAGTCACATTCTGCACGCATTCCATTCAGACACAGGGTGTCAAAGGGCGCACAGATGTAGCCGATAAATAAAAAGGGTGTTCCAACTTTGTGCGTTTTTGGGCTGTTCCATGTGCCTAGAGTACATGTACATATACATGTAGGTGTTCCACATAGGGACAAACATTATGGCCAGAATATTCCAGGAAGCCTAGAGCTGACAGCTTAGGATTGATTCCCCTTTATCTGATTCTACGGAACTGTGAAACAATATGCTTACATGTATACATATAGAAATTACACTTGCATACATCATTTCAAATTGAAGAATGTAAGTTTGACTGAGAACAAAATGCCACTTACTTGAATCTTGTACACCAAATGGAAAGGGTAAATCTAAGATGTGAGGTTCTCTTTCAAAGTCCATGTTTAAAAATGGAGGTATACTCAGATTAAACCTGGAAGCGAAATCATCCAAATTTTACGTCAGCGAAGTGCAATAACCAATGCAAGATGTTAACATCTACTTTTACTTCTGAAGAGCCAGATTCCAAAGTCACAAAAACAAATCACATACAGAAAGGGACGACAGTCCCTGAAATTAGGCACGTGCACAAGAGCGTCGCCATGACTTTTCAGGCGGGGGGAGGAGGGGAGAAGAGGGGGGATTTTGAGGGATGGGGGGAAAAGCACTTTTTAGCGACAAACTGATAAAGAATTAATGGCAGTAGGAGGGGTCAATTCTGGGGTATTCTCAAGTAAACTTGTGATTTTCATCCCTTTCCTCTCTTGTTCATTTCTCCTGCTTTCAGTTCCCTTTTTCTTTCCTCCCCTGGGTGGCAGTGGGGAGAGGGCCCAACTTTCCCCTTGTCCCTCTTGCCAGTGTTTGCCACACCCATGGTATTGCATGCTGTACATTTATTCAGCCATGGCCATGAACAGAATGGAAGGAGCATCACCAGGCAAGCTGCCTTTGGCAGCATGCTCTGTTTCACATTCACTTGTTATTTCACACTTACTTCTCGCCATAGACATTGAGCATTCTATTCCTCGAGCGTTCAGGAATACAAGTAACATTGGGAGATGCCAGGGCAGTGCTAAAAACAGAACAAACAAACAAAATCAAGAAACATCGTGTAAGTCAGGTCAGTTCAACCCTGTGGGAAAAATGGCAACACATCTACACATTCAACAAAGCCACAGCACTTTGTACATTCTGGTACAAGTTGAAGATATTGAAAGTGGTTGCAAGAAGAAACACTGAGTTGACGGAAATGTAATAAAACATGTGTTAAGGTCACAAAGGCTGGCTGAAGAGCCATTTCTCTGTCTGCTGCCCTCTAGAGTTCACAAGGGATTTCTGTAATGTACACATACACACATGTACATGTGCATGCACGTATAAAGCATCGGATGCAAACCACTTCATTAATTGTATACACTGTACATCTAACCAACATCATATGGTGCATTATGTACACTTTAAGAATAGAACTCATCACTGGCATGAAATACATGTACTGAGTGCTCAAATGTGCATATTGGTAACGTGTCAGAAAAATCGTCCCAATCCAATGCCATTTGAAAATCTGGTCAAATCATGTCATTCAGTGTCATCAGGGTTTCATCTGGGATTGAAACACCCGGTATTTTCCACTTACTTTGAGTCAGTGTTTCAAAAGTGCGGGGGGAGGGGAGATCACGAAAAGAATACAATGCATGAATATTTTACACAGCAAACCAATCTTCAAAATGCAGTTAGTAATGCATCACTTACATGTACTTGTATTTGGCTAACAATGCACACATGCACCCATGCCTCACCAAATGAAACTCTAATTCTGTTTTGGCAAAAAGTGAGCAAAAACTGAGTGATAAAATGTGCAGTCATTAATATTCTCACTACAAAATAAAACATCTCATAAAAAGAACGTCAACACAACTGTATACATACACCATGTTCCAATTTGAAAAAGATTGTTTCAAGAAATTCATACTGAATAAGAGTACGGTGTGCTGTATTTCAATAGCACTGGTATTTTATTTCAAAAGACAGTATGTGGTTACATAACAGTATCTTTGGAAATTTTATATGAGACAGAGACAAACAAGAGAACAGTGGTTGGGGTTTTTGTTGGGGTGTTTGTTTGTTTGTTTGTTGGGGTTGTTGGGGGTGTTTGTTTGTTTGTTTGTTGGGGTGTTGGGGTGTTTGTTTGTTTGTTTGTTGGGGTGTTGGGGTGTTTGTTTGTTTGTTTTTTAAAAGGGCAAAAAAGGAGCGGGGCTAAATTTCTAGGGAAAAAAGTGGCTAATGTTGTCTCAAGATTGCTCATCTAGAGTGGCCAAGTTAGCAACCTTACATCTTGTCTGCTACAGCACTGCAGGCAGAAATCACCATGAATGACATTCGGAACTCGCAACTTTTCCATTCCACTCATTAACTGCCGTTTGCTGGGCCTCTGTGCCTGGGAGATACAGCAAATCATGCCCCATCGAGATTGGTTTCTTGTTATGATAAGGGCCAGCTGTCTTAATACAGGCTATTCCAGCCACAGACAGCATGGGGATAGAGGGAAGCTTTGCAAGGGACCAACTTGAAGCATTGCTCAGTTTGGCGGAGAGAACAGGCACTGAAAGGTGTGGGAGCAGAAACTGAAATGAATACACAACAACTCGGTGGCATGAAAATTATCGATGGACCATGAACACGCACGCAGCAACAACTACATGTACATGTGCTGTACATGTACTGTACATACATGCAGTTGGCCCAAATTAGTGAAATGACACGTGTATGATGTGTATGTATGGTATTCTTAGCACGGAGAATCAGTGACAGAATTTTGGGCAACCTTGCATTCCCAAGTCACCAGTTTCCTCCATTTTTTTTTTTTCAGGAAGATTCTGTATCTGCTGACCAGGAATTGGTCTAGGGCAACAACTGGGAAGTGACGCATTTGGATGTGGGAGGAAGTCTTTAAATACATTTGCACATCAAATAAATCATCATAAATGTCTGCTTCAAATTACCGAGGGATGGGGCTACTAGTATAACTGAAAAAAAAAAAGAATTGAATGGGGGAATGGCTGATGAATTTTAAAAAACCATGACTGAAATAAAAAATCAAGCAACCAAATATACTACTCAAAATAAGTTAAGGACCACTTTCTTCTTAACTTGTAATTTTTTCCAAGCAATGACTGGGGCCTAGTTCTTTCATTTTTTGCTTGTCTACATGGCTTTCTCATTGGAAAAAAAATTTTAGAAATGTTTCAAAACATCAAATGCACAGTTTCAACAGCAAAATATCTCATATAAAAAAAGTATACACAAAATAAAAAGTGGTCCTTAACATTCTTTGAGTAGCATATTCTGTTACCTAATGTATCCCATCAACGACCAAAAAAAAAATTACTGGAATTCAAGACCAACATGTGTACGCCTGAAAACCTGAAATCAAATGTCATATGAAACCCTTGGATAATGCGTATTTGTGTCAACACGGCAGGTTTTGGTGTGCTCACTAGCAAAGCAGACCCCAGACTCAGCGTAGTCGGTTAATGCATATACTGGTACATTGGGAGGCTGGCTCCTAGAAATGCTCATGTGACTATTGCATTACCGCAACTTCCTTGGTAAGCTTAGCCCCATAAAAGTATGGAGGTGAGGTGTCACAGGATTCGGAATTACACTGAGACATTGAATACTTGACCCCTACATGTACACGCACATGTACATGTCCTTTGCTGAGTACAGTTCATGTGCATGTACATGCTACCATACTGATGAATGGTTCATCCATGTACATGTAGGTGTACATGTACTTCTCCTACGTACATGTACAATAGACACATTTTGTACATGTATTACATGTATATACATGTGCGTCATCTTCTTCTTCTAATTATTGCAACAACCTCCAATATGGGATATTTTAAGTTGCAGGTGCGTAGTGGCTAGTTGACTCTTCTTTTGATTACTGCAACAACTTCCACTATGGGATATTTTAAGGCACTAAAGGATATTTTTAGGTACTATGGGATATTTTATGGCACTGTGGGATATAGGATATTTTAAGGCACTATGGGATATTTTAAGGCGCTATGAGATATTTTGAGGCACCATGGGATATTTTAAGGCACTATGGGATATTCTAAGGCACTATGGGATATTTTAAGGCACAGTGGGATATCTTAAGGCACTATGGGATATTTTGAGGCACCATGGGATATTTTCTTTGTATATGTACACACCAGTACCGTAGTATGTATGTTGATGCACAGGTGCAGAGAAGGTACATGTATGCAGGATTTTGACCATGTATGGTACATAACCATTTTCTTGCTATTAACCAAAAATGCATTTGGTGCATTGTTCCCTCTTTTTAGCTTTTGTTTGTTGGAGGAAGTGCTTGGTCTTTTGACAAAATGACAGAGCTTGTGCATTCAAGAATACCCGGGTATGTGTTTAATTGTTCATGCCATAAATTTTTGTTGATTCCTGGCCGAAACTCAAATGCATATATGTACAGTAAGGGTATTACGGATACCACAGCAGCATCTTGTGGGAATCTTTTGCTTTGTATTTTTGACTCATTTTCAACAGAACTGTGGATCAAACATGCAACTTCTTTGCAAGAATTGACTCTACGTGACCTCGCCACCAGTGCTCTTCCAGCAATTCTACTTTCCGCCAAAGCCAACTCTACCACTGCCAAGTACATGTCCACCTGGTGTCATTGGGAGTCCTGCACAAACTTCAAGCCTGGTATCCCGGCCTTTCCTGCACAGCTATTTCATCTCTGCCTCTACATCACATGTGTCGCAACATCCTTGGGGGCCGAGTCTGCAGCAAAGTTACTTTCGGCAGCAGTGAAGTGGGTGCACAGCTTGGCAAGTCTGGAATCACCAACTGCTGAGGACCCCTGTCCAAACAGCTGTCCAGGGCTATAATCACATCAACGCTTCACCTACATGTATTATCTGAAAGGAGCCAGTTACTCCGGACATTTTGGTAAAGTTGGTCATTCCAGCACTTCATCAGCGGATCTTTGCATCTTGTTTATTTCTTTTATTAGCTACACTGGTTTTCTTAGATTTAATGAAATCAGCACCATCAGATGCAATGATTGTAAATTTGTTTTTATAATGACAGCCTCGAACACTTTAATACCAAGATCAAAAACCAAGAAATTTAGACATGGGTCTGACGTCACAATTGCCAGAACCCACAAAGCCACCTGCCCCATATCCATTACTAAAAGATATATCTCTGCTTTAGTAGATCCTGGTGATTCAGAGTTGCCCCTCCTTTACAGACTCACTAATTCCAAAAAAAGGCCTCATCCCCACCCCATACAACCTCAGCTACACCAGAACATGCGAGACAATTCTGGGTGCTCTCAAACCTTTCCTGACCGATATAACCTGTTATGGTCTTCACAGTCTTTGGTCCGGTGGTGCCTCGGCAGCATGCAATGCTCACGTGCCTCCCGAATTAATATCAAGACAAGGTAGATAGAAAACTGTCAAGGCTCATGATGCAGATTTAAAGCTCGATCTTGTAAAGACCCTTTAATAGGTTTGAACCCTTTTATAAATTTATTCACCATCGATAAATTCCAGCCTGTACGCCCTACGACTAAAAAAGAAAAAAAAAAAGGAATTAAATTGTCAGGTTGAGTTTTATACTCTTACAGATATATACCACAAATTAAACATGTAACCACTTGCCTTTTTCCTTTGAGTTAAGTTCAAGTATAAAAACTACTCACAGTGGAGTCTCAGCGTGGTATCAACATTTGATTTGAGCCGAGTTACTTGTCATTTTGTGGTAGTGAAGGAATGGACTCTTTGGCATAACAGGAGTCTTGAGTTATCAGAGTTTGCCTTATCTAGATTTCACCGTACTTAGAGTTCGGTCTACACCTTGATTCTGATTGGTATTAATTGTAACATGATGGAATGGATCCTTCAGTGAGTACTCTAAAATAAATTGAGCGAGTTTAAGTGCACCACCATTCCAGTAGTTCACCGAAACTTGTTTGTTTGTCTGCTTATCTGGTAGTATCTTTTCACATGAGGTACCGTAGATATAGAAAAGAAATGTGACCTGTCACCACAAAATGAGCTGAAAGTCGGAATTTTCAGAAATTGAGATATTGATATATTTGAATTCAGCAGAAAAAAAAGAGTTTTCCAGTGGTACGTTCATGGAACACTGATTACAATGTGACATTATTCTGGGAGCTTCCCGTCTTTGTTCCCAACATTGTTTCAACATTTCTGACCAGGCACAAATAATCAAAACAAATTGCTGAGAAAATGACATTTTTAAATATATGATCCAGCGAAATATTTGGAATTAAATAGGAGACAGGTTTCTCTTTCCAAATACTGCAAAACCCCAAAACTGACCTCCACTTCAATATGACTTTGAACCCTAAAAATAGGAAAGAACGGGATGGGACTTTACTCTCATTTTGTCATGACAGGTCACAAATTAAGTTTCTTACGTAGGAACATAGTGAGAAATTGAACTCTTTTTTGAGAATTAAAAAAACACTTTGTGACAACACATTCCTAGCCTCACTTCGAGATCTTCCTCTCTTGAAATATGGAAACCATCAGCACCAGCCCCTCAAACCCGATCCAGCATTTTTAACTATAACCTAAACCCTTTCAAATCATCTCCCCCCAAAAACAAAAAAAAAGAAAGAAAAAAAAACCTGTGGAGTAAGGAACTCCAAATCTACTGACAAAGTGCACAAATACACAAGTTTTGTATTCAAAGTTACACATGTACATCAGGATGTAACGATTTTCATTTCAGGATTACAATTAAAAGAAATGCACACAAGTCTATGAGAACTAGGATAATTTAATTGGAAATGCAGATTATATATTCACGTTCATGTACATGTATGTAGTTTGAGCTTGCTTTTGAGTTTGCTACCGGCAAATACTGGTACTTTAAAGCTGTTCCAGGTTTTCAGAATATGAACTTGCTACAAAAGAGCTTTTTCTGTTTTGATAGCACCGTCTTGAATCCCCAAAAGAAAATCGACTAATCCTGTCGCAGGCATGTCCAACAGGAAAACATCCAACTGGCTTTGAACACTGTGTGACAACGTTTCTGCAAGTGTACACTTACCTCATGTCTACCGCTTTCTGAACGATTGGTGATAATTTAGGTTTGCGGGCTGCCTGTGCCCAAGTCTGGTGCTGTTTTGCAGCAGGTTTTGTTGCCCCACTACCGGAATGGTCCAGCGGGCTAGAGCAGCAGGCACAGGTGAGTCCAAGCAAGGGTGTTATTAGGAGGTTGGGGGGGAGGAGGGGGGTATCAACAGCACACCATGCAGTCAGACGGGAGGGAGAGAAGAGGGTTAACAACATTACAAGTGCTGTTACTGAAGGAGTCACAGGCATTAATGGGCAAAGACACAGGCAAGTCATTTGTTATACATGTACCGGTGTGTTCAATCGACAAGGTCGGTTGACTTTTTAGTTGTATTTCTGAAGGCCCCTCCTTCAGTGAATCCGGTAAGACATCACCCAAAAAACTTGTGAAGGATTAGGATGAAACTGAAAGTGGTTTAAATACATACACCGTGTTCGTGTACGCACTGTACCCGTACAAGTACCGGTACGCATGAGGCAAGGTTGAGAAAATGGAAGGGATGTGACAAAACCGGGTATTTGGACAAGATGGCTTTCAGGCAAAATGAGGATGCGGGAGGACAAGAAGATGAAGGAATTAAGGTTGTAACAGGTAATGAGAGAAGAACTACCGGTAGGATGGGAGGGGATTGAATACAGAAAGAGGGAGTAGAATGAGAGGGGGTTACAAAACAATTTTAGACAAGAGATTAGATTGAAAACTCTGCAGAAGCACGTTACAGAAAGAGGTGGAATCTGGGAAGGAGTAGGCATACGTATTACGATGGGAAAGGATAAGGTTAGTCAGGATCGTCAAGGAATAAAGGCTGGAAGGAATTCTATATACATAGCTACGCAGTGCATGTGCATACACTACAGAGAAAAAGGTTAAGACAGAAGAGAATTTGGTTGCAAATAAATGGGTATAAAAGGGGAAGAGATTAGATAACTGTGATTGCGATGAGAAGGATTACAAAAGGGTTTCATAGGTAAAATTCCAGCAGAACAAATAGGCAATTAAAGGAAGAGTGATTACAGAAAGGAGCATAAAAAGACGGATAAAAAAGGAAACAGGGTTAGGATTGGATGGGATTAGATGAAAGGGGTTAGGATGAGAAGGGGTAGGAGTGTTTGATGAAAACACCAGGAGTGTTTGATGAAGACACCAGGAGTGTTTGATGAAAACACCAGGAGTGTTTGATGAAGACAGGAGCAAAGGACCAAAAAGTTAGGGCAGAGAGGGATCACCAGTTGCAGAATGAGAATGGTTGAGACAAGTATTACAGAGAAAATGGAGAAGGATGAGGCTATGGATGCAAACGTGCATGAACAAGGATGAGGTATTGGCAATGTTTAGCGCATGTACATATGCACCAACTGGCTGTGAAGGCACTTTTGTTTTTACTGTGACAGTACGAGTGTAAACGAGCTGCAGAGCTTGGTGTATGGCCAATTTGCTTTAGTTGGCTATGTTTGTCCGGCTTGAGCTGACATCACCATGCGTCTCTCTGGTTCAAACATCTGCAAGACTTTTCACCAGTGTATGATGCATTCGTGAGGTAGGGTGAGGTGACATTTGGTGAGCAAATCTTTGAGATTGCTCAGCTTGTTTATTGTGAGTTTTATTTCTAAGAGATACCATACAACCACCAAAAATGAAAGTTAGAACTACATGTAGCTATAATGCAAGTTCAAGTTCATCTGGACTCCAAAACCTCACCTTCCCAGATCTTTCTAAATCCATCATGAGATTTTTGAGAGGATGTTGCAGAAGAGCGGAAAGGTACGGTACTCTGTGTGTGGTGTTACTTTTACACAGTGGATGACGCTCTCTCGAGTTAGAGGAAGAAATGCCTTGTGTCTCCTACACAGTGTTAATTTTGGATTCAACATACATGTAAAATTCTGCTAAGCAATATTTTTGTTATTTTACAATAAGCTGGAAATGGCGCAGCGATAGAACTTTCCTAACCACTGTAGAGGACACGCCACGCATACTTAATACTGAGAAGAGCAGGTGATGGAAGAAAGGGCAGCACCATGGAAAAGACTGGACAAGCAATATCTCTTGTCAAGCGAAGATGACTTCTAATGTGGACCATCTCTCATCCCTTGTTTTACTGGCCAATGCTTAGCAATGTACATGTACTGGTAACAGCCCAAGTCGGCAACCCTTTCCCCTCTGGAGTGATGAAGGTTTCCTTTGCCATTGACAAAAAACCAAAGTTTGAGAGAACGGCCAAAATACAGAGGCACTTCATAAGCAAAAGTCATGTTGCTGTGCTGAAGCACAAAGAAGAATAGCTACATGGCTACGACATGGACGGCGACTGGTAAAGGAACCGAGGCAGTAACCATCAGACCGATAACCTTACGCACTGCTCATTGTTTGCTCCATAACACTTGACAATGTTTTCACAAAGAGTTTCTCACTCTCACGCACATTCACCTACATGTGCACTGTATGCGCAGGATAAAAACTAACTCCTTCGGCACCTTGTCGAAATGCCTTAATGTCAGTGTCAATTTTATTTGGCATTTCATTTCTGACCCATCACTCACAATGGGCACATGCAAGATGTTTGAAACATGCAGCGTACACCTGCACCAATTGATTGCCAATAATATGCTACTCACACCAGCACCTGTGATAGCCAGTAATCCATAGTAAACAAACACTGACTGCTTTTCAGGGTGGGGTTGCCATGGTAGAGTCCACATTCAAGTTTATGATTAAATAGTAAAATTAATGGATGCCATCTGAGAGGTCTTGTTTGATCACGAGATCGAAACTGTTGGTGAAGTGGTATAATAATAAATTTTTTTACACTCATGGAATGCAGAAAATGTTTTTTACACCTCCAACACCTCTCAGTCAGTTGTTCTACTTTTGCACTCAATGGAATAGTCCAATGGCTGAATACAGAGGCCTGTTTTTGCCTTAATGCCATTTTGTTACTTAGCCACATTATACAGTACATGTAAGTATTCATACTATTCAGAAGAAAAGCCAAGCTACGTAATTATGGACCCCCTGGCACTCTGTGTGACCACTCATTACAGTTCCACTGTGCATGTACGTTGTACTGTTTACACACAATTCACCCAACTAATTTTCATCGGTATGTGCACAAAACACTAGTGTGTTTACACAGATGACTGGCACACAGAGCGGCAATGAGGTTGAAGTAAATGTACAGTTTGTACATGTCCTGCATTGCAGCTGCACAGCCAACAGTAAAAGGACACAGAAAACTCAAGCACGACACAGCGGCGCATGGAAAGACTGAAGAGTTTAATGTAGCACAGGGAGATGTGTTACAGTAAAATTCAGTTAGAGCATTATGAAAACTAACATGAATGGCCCTAAAAATGATGGTTGGGGTTCGCAACATGTTGGAACAAGGTTAATGACAGATAAGTAATGTGATGTCTATAGAAACTGTGCATGGCAGCCATCTTTCCAGAAGCTGCTTTTGTTCCACAGGGATCCACATGGGTAGACCTTTTGTGCATCCTCCATACCAAAAGCACTACTGGAAAGAAAGCTGCTGTGAAAAGCCTCTGTAAGATCAAGAAATGCAAGACCTATACTATCCTGGTTGAGAGCTCTACGGTAGATTAATGAGTCAGTTATTTCCCTGGGACAGTCCCGTTTCTGTAAAGTCAGAGCTATACCAAGTCCCTTTGTGAGTACACAAAGTATACCGAAGCAGAAGGTGTTCTAGTTGGAGTTCTGCTCAGCACGGTGAGGCCAGAGTGCTTGTATGAGCCACAACCAAATTACATGGCTGTGGCTTGAAATAATGCATGTGTGAAGTAAGCACAGAGCCACTAATTGACAGCTTGCACAGGCCTAGAACATTTGGTAAATGGGTAGGAGTCACAAGGCAGAAGCTGAGAATGCCCAAGTACAGTGTACTTGTTAAAGGATGAGCATTTAAATTCAAGTCCTTTTGCCCGTGACTGTACATTTTATAGATAGGCTCATCAAACTGCAAGTCCAGAAACTAAACTCCATTCAAGGGCACACATTTACATGAAAAAAACTTTATCTCTTAGTCTGGGGGTCCAAACGAACCACCATAATAAACATGTCACTACATGTAAACTGCAAAAGCAAGACGGACTTAACATATTACAAAATAACTACTGTGATTTACATGTACATGAATATAGGCATTGGGAATTATTAACTTTCACCCCAAAACATAACCAAAATCTGTGATATCAAATCAAACATTCCACACTGGGAGCATACATCTCACAGCAAACATTTTCTAAACAAACCAGTAGTATTGCATTCCAAATAAACTGGCATCATGGATCATACAGGTTTGGTAAGCAATCCCTGCCATTTCTACAGCATGCTCGACTTAGAAGGCTCTTTTGAAAACTCACCGGTTTATCGGTACAGCTACCGTGCCCCCAATCTTTACACCACCACCGATGTTTCCTCTGGTGTGGCCTGAAGAGGGATAACAAAAGGGAAAAACAAATCATCAAAATGACCATGTGCAAGAGCAGACTAGCAAAAACACTGAGCAAGACTGTTAGCCTCTTTATGCAGGTAGCAACAATACAAGGTTTGAAACACTTGGGCGTGGTTATTATACACAACCATGTGTAGCTTTAACCTGTTAAAGGGCACGTATGGATAAGGTGCAAAGTTGGTGCGCACACAAGATTGGAAACATGGTCCATTCTTGTCCAACAGTGCCAATGGATTGGGTGGGGTCCTTAGTTTAAAAGTCTTGTTTCAGACCAACGGGAGGGGGGTCGCTCCTCAAATCAAATAGACTAGAAGACGGGTGAAAGATGCGAAAGCGTTGATCTTGGCTGAGTGCAAATATGTGTACTGCACTGCTCACCTGTGGAATCTGGAGGCTTTGTTATTCAAAATAAAAGCTGCATCTTTTAGCACACTTGATTAGTTTTCTTGCGCAAAAAGACTGTGTTTAGATTTGTTTGCCTCCTGTCTGCCAGCATCTGCTAACCCAAAATATCTTCCTACTTCTGCTGCTTTTTCTACCAGGTTACAAAAAGAAAGCTTGATTTGATAGTGTGTTGTAAGATCCTGAAACTATCCATCATCCTACACCATCTGTTTGTTGACTGTCATTTCGTTTAAATAAAGATATCATGATACCGACACGGTACTTTGTACCTACATCCCTCCGGTGTGTTTGTTTTGGGGGCCTGTTGAGGAAAAAAATTCTTCCCAGACAGTTACAAAAGGAAAAATAAAATCCAATGACTGAATGTTTGTACACACTTGCACGTGTGTGTACCAGTATGCACAGCTGGTTTACGACTGGACACCTGCATGTGTAAACGGGGCACTGCATACCAGTATCTCCAACTGTCTCACTTGCAACATTTTAAAATGTTCTAGTGTTCAACTTTAACAATTTTTCTTTCGTCAAAACAAAAAACCCGAAACCGAACATTAAATACTTAAAAGGACAGCAAACTGACAGAGCAGAACAAAACAAAAGATTTTATGTACATTAATTTTCACTAAAATTTGGAATGGTAAAATATTAAAATTCAGCCTAAAACACATGCTTACATGTACATGTCCTGTACCAAGTGAGCACACACATGTTCATATCAACCCCTTATAATGTGCTATTCTACCGGTAACTCAACGCACAGCCGCAAACTTTCCTGTAAATTGAAAGGTGGCGCATTTGGGCGCATCAGCCCCCATATTATCTTTTACTGCGTGCCAAGCTTGCTTGAAGATTGAGTGAGTCGTTATCACGCTTGTGCTCATGGAACACAAAATAATGTACATGTAATGGGCCTTCAGCCTTGTGGTATACGGGACACAGACGCACTACACGGACATTACTTCACGTTCCACTCACACTCGTGTGATAATTGATAATGTGCACTCACTTATTTTTAATGTTCACATAGTTGAAGGGGGGGAACAGGACTGAGAATTACAATTACAATGGGCAGGAATAGACTTATGGACATATATATACAATGTACATGTAAGTAGACAACGGTACAGTTCATCAGTACTATGCCATTTTCTTTTAAGATACCGAAGTTTTTAACTTCTGGTGAACAGCTGGTATAGTATAAAATGGCATTCAAAGCTCTTCCACAGTTTTGCTTTCAGATATCACTTTCAAACCACAGAGTCATACTCCTTAATTAGAAATTTAATCTGTTTTTCACTGCCATCCAGCTAATACCAATTAATGATACGAGATCCGAGGACGATTATCTGACGAAGTGCAGGGACATGTGACCAGACTCCCAGCTCTTTATTTGCACACTCACATATCCAGCAGGTCTGCACTCCAGAGGGAAATTAAGTGCCCTCAAAAATTAAACCCAGCCAGAGCCAGTGAAACGGAATGGAGGTTGTCCCACGAGGGGGGAGTGCTTCATGACAAAAAAGAGGAAAAAAAATCAAACATTCCACAATTCCTCCCCTACCATCAAAAAGGCCTTCGGAGAATGCCCAAGCACAATGTCAATATTCATTATCTCGTCTTCATGAGTCAATGTTGAATACAGGGTCACATCTCGCCAAATGGTAAAGTAAGTTGGAACACACTGGGACCTCAAATTCAGGTCAGTTAAATGGGAATCTAAAACAGCAGTATCCTGCTCAAAATTGAGTACGCTCAATGGTATCAAGTTGGCTGGTGGGAAAACTACCAAAAAGAATGGAGTTCATGAATAGCGTGATAAAGACAATGTACACAGTCTCACTGGCATTTGAGAATACTCAAAAAAGGCCTGGTCCCATTTTTTTTCTCCATTGAACATGGCAAGTGATCTTTACAATGTCCTTAATGGGCTAAGGAAGAGCATTTCCCACATTATTGGATCCTGCAGATGGTGACATTCACTATTAACAGGGGATATAGCCCACCAAGATGGTTAAACCTACTTCCATGGCAGATTTTACTTGAAGAAAAATTTCCTTATAAATAGAGTGGACCACTTGCAGCCATCCTCAATTCAATCGAACCACATTTTGAATCACACCTTATTCATAAAGATACATGAAGTCATGACATTAAAGTCTTTGAAGATATATTCCTTATGGTACATGTATGTTGTCATTTTGAAGAAAATGCTTAGCACAGAAACACATTAAAGAAAAACAGTACATACATGTAACTCTAAGCGTACATGTGCATATCACAAATGCTGTCAAGGACTATACAAAAAGCCACACGCAGCTAATTTCCACCGTGGCCAACAGAGTGGTAAAATGGGTTATCTACTCTACACATTTCCAGTGGAAATTTTCTGCAACCTTTCATATAGCACAGAGAGCAAAATCAGCATGGAGTTCAAAATACACATACACACTTGCAAACATCAAGTATAGGTTCACAAGCAAAAATCACTAATTGATTAGGAATGAGAACAAATAGAAACAGAGCAGAGTGATATGATTTTTTGTGAGCCTGAAATTCTGTACGCAAATATGAACTGAGCTAATGTGAACATGCTAGTCCATGTTATTGAATCCTTGCAAATACAAGATGTTCATACGTACCATTTGGGAAACAAGGCAAAATGGATGCCCGTAAATTCAAAAGCAGATAGTTTTTAATGAGTGTGTGTAGTAGATGTATGGTTGATTATTTCAGAAAGGGGAGGTACACATTTCTCCTCATGTTATCGTCAGACGAATAACTGCAATTCAAGTGTACGGTTCCCTTCCTCAAAGGTCAAAAAACTGAACTGCAGTCAGGGTTCTGCTTTTCCTTTCCACTTCTTTTTGAGGTTGCTGATTTTGTAATTATCTTCAAGCCTTGCCCTGTCCATTTCAATTAATGTGGCAAACAGTGTCATGAGTTCAGATCATTTAAGCAAGGCGGGATGGGAAGATTACCATGCACATGCAACTATTTGCAGACACACATGGGGTCTAACAAAAAATCACACTCATGCGATGGTGGTGCGATGAGCACATTTGGCACAAGACTCCTGGTGAGTAGGTCCTAGTACTGCTGATATTCAGTTTAAGTCACTCTTTCAGTCAGGCACCCTTATCGTTCTACTTGTTTTCTAGCCTAAGAACCTGTGCAAATTTATCAATCGCACAGAGACTGCATGCAAATGCAGGTAGCATGCCAACGTGTGCGAAATAACACACCTAAAAATGTAAACCAACATATGAAAATGTGTGCAAAGTCATGTAGATTGCGGAAATCGCGGACATTTGACTCGTGGGAAAAACCAAGATTTCCACATTTGAAATGTCCACATTCATTGACAATTACAACATTTCCAGTTTGAGACTTGTGGTTTCCACATACCGTGGGTCGAACCACGAAGTGATGCACAGGATACTGTGGGCACACTACACTGTATGAAGACCACAGACAGACTTTGCAAAGCCAATACCTCAGTGCATGGTGGGGCAACTATAGAGAGTACATATAGACCTCTGCATGTACATTGTAAATGATACATGATACATCATTTCATGGTGCAGCCAACAGTGTGTGGAAAAAAAAAATTCACGGACAAGCGTAATATACCGGTGGAGTTTGTAACTGACATCAAAATGCATTGACCTTTTCCTTGAGCTACATACATGTGCATGTACAAGTTACAGCAGTACCAAAACCTACATGTACTTTCACACCAAAAAAAAAAAAAAACAGAAAAATTCTTGCGATTCCATCACCTGGTCCTGAGTCCACCTCTGGCTTGGTTCCAGCACATAACTGGTCATGATTCCCTACAGCATGAGAAACAATTGCCAACAACATCATAGGATGAGAAAATGGCATACCATACATAATGACTACAGTGCACACATGAATCATGCAATTAATGCCCCAAAACACAAGGGATGCAAAATGCATTTACAGCAAGTTGTCTGCCATGCACAAAACACTTGTGTCACTGTCACTTGCAAACAAACTTATTTCATAGGCAGTTTTTGATAATTTGATGTACATGTAGACTTATGTTTTTTCGCACTTGTTTCATGGTTTAACAGAACACCAGCAGTATTGGTTGCATTTACATGTACAAATATCTAACGAGAAAAGAAATTTCTTTTAAACTACACTAGGAAATCTGAACTGAGCGAATTCCTTATAAAGACCACCTGAGCACAACACGAGTACACATGTACATGTGTTGCCATGTGCTATTCATAAAAAGGTCAACAGACAACGTCTCCGGTGGTGTCAAATGCAGCAGATCAAGATACGTTGTGTAAAATTAGGGTCGAAATGTCACCTTACATGGACACTGCTCCTGGGCCGATATCGGCTGAGTTACATTTGTACATCCTGAACACTCCATTTCGAGTACAGTTGCTCAATGGCACAATCCCCAGGGTGAAAAGGGAGCTGAGATGGTTTCAGGAATGTTCAGATGATGTGAGTCCAATGTACAGGGATAATGAGAATAAACACATAGAGGTATTCCGTGATATGCGCTATACAAGAACTGACTACTATTACCATTATGTATGTGTACATGTACATGTACTCTCGTCTGTAGGCCTACATGTACATGTACTGGCATGAGGCAATGGAGTTGTAAGTGGACACGTACCTTACATATGTATATGAGCATGTTCCATGCAACGTGCATCAAATAAATGCTGAACACATTTCTACCTGCATGTACAGTGGGCCTACCTCTGCTTTAATGTGCATGTGCTTAGAAATTTTTTTTGGGGGGGACGGTGCAAAGTGTCTCCTTTCGTGCATGCAGATACAAAGAGAACACCTCCCCCCAAAACAATATTTGACTCCCTACCCCCCCAAAAAAAAACATCAACTCTCTCTCCCACCAAAAAAAAAATTCAATTAAAGGAAAAGTATTTTACACGCAACTCCAGATGAGGACAGTGAAACCCAATTATTTAACCAGTGTCAACCAATTCAGGTCATGTTTACAACTCGGTCTTGGTTTGTACTTCATTCCCAAAATACATGCAAAGGCAGGAATTGAAATGCAATCTGACCGAATGAGAGCCAAGAAAAATTAGAAACAAAGTCTAGTGTATCACAGGTGCAGCTGCGGGAGGCAGGAAACAAGCCTGTTTGTTTTTCCTACACTCTTGAGTGTGGCAGGATTGCTGACAGCAATTACATTCATGTGCAGGTGTACATGTAAATCCACCACCAGTTCCAAGTATGCCATCTGGCCCCGAAGAAGCTGTTACCAAATTTGTCTTTATTCTGGGAAACACTACATGTACTTATTAAAGTTACCCTCAACTTCACATTTTTCCCTCATTACTTGTTACAAACAAAATAACAAAAACGTCTTTTTGACAACCCTTTCTGTCAACAGTCAAGAAAAAGTCTTTCCAAATAAACCAAAACACAAAAACTAAACAAATATCTCCTCAATGGAAGGGCAAGAGTCGCCCAAAGGTCATATTTTGCCAAGCAATCCTCACTCCGTAGTCCCGTCTGCACCCTTTGCAATTTTGTTCAAATCCACAAGAATATAATTTCCAGGAATTCAGCTGAAGTTCCTGAACTTAAAATCGGTGCCATTGCTGTAAGAACAGTTTCCTTGTATGGCAAAGAAAGATAAGGTTAACTAAATATATCAACAAGACAAGCCTCTTTAATTTTGATTGAATTCACATACCACGAATTTCATTTCCTGGTACTGGACACTGACTGGCACCACAGAAAATAAAAGGAACTCTACCAAGTAGGTTTGATCCTACTGTAAGTGCATACGGTCTGGAATTCAGGAAACTGAAGCAATTTTACCTTGGAACAATGGACTTTTACAGAATAGGCATGTTCACGTACATATCTAAGTAAGATGCATTACACCAGAAGGGTGCAGTGTCCCAATTCAAGGAAAATTCTCCTGCCAGGCCGAGGCGCACAAAAAATACCCCCCAGAGATTGTTTCGAAAAGAGGGGTCTGTTTGGGCCAAGAAATGGTGAGTTTGTTTCTGCATGCAATTGGGGACCCTGAACAATAGAGGACAATAAGGTCCCCGATTGACAGAGGGTCCCCGATTGACAACTGTGTACAGAACATATGGGTGGTCTTCTAAAAAACATAAAGTACAAACAATAGAGGAACAATAGGGGGTCCCCAGTTGCAAGCAAATATACACTTCTGTGTGTGTGTGTACTGGTACAGTGAATAATAAATTTCCAGTACAAAATTCTGTATTGTCTTGTGAACACCTATCCACCTGCAGTACATATAATACGCAGTCACCTTAAGTGGATCATAATTCTGCTATTTTTGGACAAGGACAAAAAAGAGACTATAAAAGGTCACTAGATACATTAACATGTACAAGTTTATACCAGTACACAAAAGTGTGCGATGCATTAGCAAGGATGCTGGCCAATTATTACATGCGCATGTACGCTGAACGTAATTGAACTGACACAATGCCTGGTCTCTTTATTGCTGATGATCTTGCTTCACCAAATTGTCTTCATGTAACTGGTTCACAGTGAATCAAAGGTCCGCATGCAATGTAAAAATTAGAAAGCCAAATGCCACACCGGCCTATTTCACATGCAGAACTACATGCCGGTACATTCCCATGTGCAAAAAAACCCAACTTATGTCACATGCAAAAAAACAGTACACTTTAGCAAGGCACATAACTGCGGCAATACGGTACCATTCCAGCGGCGATAGTGGAGGTCTTAATTGCATGTTTACTAGAACATGTGATATAGAGATTTTTCATATGACATAACCAGACGGGCAAAGGCATTTCAGGGTAACCACCATGTCTGTGGAGGCACGTACTTTTCAAATGTGTGTATTGCTACAGGCAAATTCATGTACACAAGAATGTCAAGAGACTTTGAAGACGCACACGCTTCCATGGATACACCTGTGTAAATTTAACGCTGACCGTCAAAAACCATGACTCAAAATCCTCTCTATTTGTTGTAACCAAAAATCAACAACATAAACCCCCACCTCCAAAACACGTTAATTTCCAGCATTAACTGTCGTTTTGCATGTGTATCCGATCACATCATTTGGGTAGTTCACAATACAAAATAATACGCTATGTATGTACAACTTATTTTGAGTGAAAATAGGGTTGATGTAGATTCAGAATTCGTCCACAGGAGAAGAGATAAAAATGTCTGACCGTATGTTTGAAAATATCATGAGTTAACTTAAAAAACATGTTCTCAAGTTCTTTCTGATCCCAAGAAAGAACCTGGTAACATGCCCAGCCCAGGAGGCACGTCCTCCCCCCAGCGGATGCCTGTGTCCCCCCTCCCCCGTGCCCCCTCATTTGAATCTTTGAATAATATCTGTTGTAATGCAGCTGCAGCTTACTTTCATGTGGTGTCCCCTTGTGTGCATCCCAGATGCCCCCCCGCAGATGCCTGTGCCCCCCTTACCCACGTGCCCCCCTTACCCACGTGCCCCCCTTACCCGCGTGCCCCCCATTCAAAATCTTTGAATAATATCTGTTGTAATACAGCTGCAGC